TGGGGTTACCACATGTGCAAGCTTAACACTTGCTATCTGGGATCATTTATGTGTGTAAGACTTGTTTCTTTACTGACTGTTACCAAGAGCGTGGGAGTGACCTGAGCCTGGGCAAAGTCAGTGGATGGCTTCTGAAGTAGAGCAGATACTCAGAAATTTTCTACGGGCATAATGCTCCAGTGTCTTGGGGTTTCTTAGTTCTTAAGGAATGTTGAGCCTTATAAAGCTGTTTGGCTCTTGACTACATTGTGATATTTTTCAAAAGCCACAAAAAACCAAAGGCAGAAAGGGTTAGAAGCGGCAAGAGTGACTAGCATTGCAGACTCCTTTAATAACTTCATTTTACCCCTTCAGACAGTAGTGCAATGGTTTGGCCTTACAGGTAATCTGGGTTAGAATAATAATTCTGGACCTTCCAGCACATCATTTCACTGGTTTACTTTACACACTTGTTTGGGGTTTTTTTTGTGTGTGTGTTGTTTTGTTTTGTTTTTTAATGTGTACTTAATAAAAGAACTAGAAGAATGTCTGCGAAAAGCCTTTGAAGACTTCGGCGTGTTTCAGGGTGTGAGGTACAATTGTATGAATATGGGTTGGTATTGGTTTGGGTTTTTTTTCAGAAGCAGTATTTTAAACCTTTTGCCCACTTTTCTACTCTTCCTTCTTCCAGGCCAGAAGCTTTTTACTGCCCTCACGTTATCTGCCCAGCTATTGGTAGAATTGCTCGTGTGCTCTGTCAACCTGGGAACACATCCAATTTCAAAAGAATGACTGTGCAAAAAAGATATGTGCTTATTTGTTCTAATCCCATGCAGTTGCCTGCTCTGCTTCTCTGTGCAGCTCTGCAGACAGCAGAGCTAAGGCCAAGAAAAAGCAGGTTGAAAGAGCTGTGCTGGGAGCTACCTAGGAAAGCAAGAGCAGCATTTGCCTTTGGCCTTTGGAAACCAAAGTGTGAGGCCAGTGGGCTTTGCTGAAAACTTATTCTGATATGTGCATTGTTATCTTAGAAAAGCTCTTGGGCAAAACTCGAATGTCCTCTTTACACCTCTGCATTAATGGTGTATGAGGGATAGGAAGGAAAAATATAGATAGATAAAATCCATGCAGTTTTTCCACTTATTGGTGGAAGAGCAGTTTGAAAACATCTGCCATTTTGGTTCATGTTAGCAAAGCATTGCCTCTCTTCCAAAACTGTGCAGAAGTAATCAGTGATTGTGCAAAACAGACCTCAGAACTAGTAAGCTGTGCATGAGGCATTTTAATGAAAAAAGGATGCCAAAGTAGCGAATATCAGAGTCACATACTCCCTGGGGAAGAACATCTGTGTAGCTGAGTGGTGCGTGTTTTGTTTGCTCAGTGAGTCACTGCTCTTCCGTGATTCAGCACGACACATGAAGCACAGGCAGCAGGCTCGGTCAGTCTGGAAAAGCCTGTTGTGTGGGGGGGTCTGTTTGTTTGTTTTCCCTCTTGGCCAACTGCTTTATTTCTGGCTCATCTGAATTACAGTCTGGGCTCTGCAAAGCAGGGCAAGGAGGGGAGAGTGTTTCTGGAAGGGTAGCAAGTGGAAAAAGTACTAAGGAATTTGATTACAAAGTAATACTTTTCAATAGAAAGATCAGGTAAAACAAATTTCCAAGCAGAAATCTTTTATGTAGAAGCTTGTTTCTGATACCTTACACCATGATCTCTGGTTTGTTCTTGCCGTGCAGGACCTCCTGCTGTTTACTGGAGGACATGTATTTTTGTGTTGAGGAATATTGTTTAATATGAAACTGCATTTGGGCAGGAGCAAATTGATGTTAAGAAAGTGCTGGAAATTAGTCCTCTGTTTATTGTCACAAATGGGTATAGAGCATGTAATAATAGCTGCATATGGTGAAAACTTTGCCTCAGGCCCTGCTTCAACAAATAGCTGAAGAAAAATGCCTGATTTCTTACGTCTTTTTCAAAATAAAATATCAAGATAGACTGCTCATAGGCTGTAGTGGTTTGCATAATATGAGTGCTTGCTCGTTACAGATACCATACTATTCACTCAGAAGAGAAGATGGCAGTCAGAATTTCGGGTTTTTGGTGTATCTGCATGGAACACTATGTGACATCTCTGCCTTTCTAGGTGTGGGCCCTGTAGAATCAGCCAAATTTTGCTAGTAGAATGCTATTTTCCATGGATTTCTGAAGAATAGGATAATTAAGGCATAAAACCCTCCACTTTTGTACTTTGAAATGGAAAGAAGAACTTATCATGTCTATTTAGGAGCATTTTTTACCACTTCATTATATCTTCTTTAAAAGCTGTACTTAATTCTGGATGAAAAGAATACTATGGGAAAAAAAAAAGTAATAGACTAGACATTTTGAGCAGCTGTAGTGATAATGAACATAATCAACTGTCTATCAGATTTTTCATTATAGACCCCAGTTTTCAGAAGTTAATGTAAAAATTTCTAAACAAAATGTACCATAAGTCTACATTTAGTCACAATTAATTATGAAAAGAAACATATGCAAATTAGTTCTCATTTGCCAGTGGTTTGAATGGCATCCTATCAGCTTTTGAGATCACTGCAGTTGCCAAAACGATACCCTATGTAATTTAGGAATTGAAATGATTTTATAATGGCAATCTTTTTAGACAATTCCAAATACCAAACCTGCAACTGAGAATATATGCTAGATGGATCAAGTCTAAAACCAACAGTATACCATTCTTCTGGGTTTGTAACCTCTAGCTGCAAATGACGTTTCGCCTTCAAAATATCCAGGAAGGATGGAAGCAAGCAGCAGTGTTTATCTTGGACAAACTGAAGGAAGATGATGCTTTGGATTTTGCTTTTTTTTTTTTTTTTTTGTGAATTTTTGTGAATTTTTGTCTTACGCATGAAGTTAGAAACTGATGGGGCTGTTCAGAGATTGCAGGGGGGCTCTGAAGGTGGTCCATGAAATCGTGGCTGGAACAGCAGGTCTTTTGCACAATGTTTAGTTGAGATTTTTTTTTTTTAACTTGTTTGATACATTTAGCTACAGCTTTTTACTTAAGTATTTTGCATAACAGTGTTACTGTATGACTGCATCTTGCCCCTAAGGTACTGCAGACCAGGCTGCTCTTGCCAGGCTCTTTTATAATACCTAGTCCTGTAATATAAAGCCCATATGGCAGTTAGGCTTGAAGATTCGGAGACTCTGCAGGTTTGTTTGTGCTACTTACAGGCACACTGCAGGGCCATCATGCTGCAGAAACAGCACAGAAGTGACCATGGAGATGCCTTAGTGTCAGTTTGGAGCTTGGGTGCTTGGGTTGAAGCTGGTTAAGCTCCAGTCAGACAGAGGGGCACAGGAAAACACAAACTCCTGTGCTTTGCCAGCTTGTCTTGCTGCTCTTGTGCAGGCGACCTCCAGTACTGGTGGTAAATTCAGATAGTGAAAGGAAGTGGTAACACTTGGCTTCTCCTTGGGTTTAGTGTTTTAAATGGAACTCCATTAAGCTGCTAGCAAGAACAGAGCCATTCAGACATGCTGTGTCCTTGCCAGTGAGCAGTGTTAAATTCAGAAGTGCCTTTCAGACATAGTGTCACCAGGCTGCAGGGCTGTGGATGAGGCCACCTGCTACCTTTGCAAGGGTACCCGCTTCCCACTGTGCTGAAAGCTCATGAAATATAAATCAGCTGAGTGATTGCTTGGTTTCAAGGGTGGGAAATAAGTGTGGGTAAGGCAAAACTAATTGTATAGAACTGGCCTGAAGAGGGAGGAAGGAAAAGAACTCTAGATGACATGAGAATAAAGAACTATTTCCAACCCCTTAGATGTTTTTTAAGGGGCCTGGTAAGGTTTTGCCAAACATGTGGAAGGCTTTTTTTATTCCAACACCACTGCTCCTTTACCCTCTTCCGTGCATGTTCTTCGTCCTTGTTACAGCAGGCTTTAGACCAGGGAAGCCAGGAAGTTTTGGATTTCTTTGGTTCTGTATTGGATTACTAATGACAGGAGAAGAGAGGTTTTACCTTCTGTCTTGAAATGAGAGATGGCCATCATGCTTGCTGTCCTTCAGTACAGGCATGAAGAATCATCTAGAAGAAGGAAAAAACAGTCATTACAGGAAAGTAACAAAGCTTATTTTCAAAAGCAACTAAACAGAGTCATTTGAAGATCTGTAACATTTATGTAGGTATAATTTAAAACCAAGTTTTCTCTGGAAACTTAATATTTCACACTTGTGCTGTCAAAATTGCGTTCAGGTTGTGCTATGTTTTGTTTTTTCTGTATGTGATTTCGTTATATACTCCATGTCTTAAACAGCAAGACTGATTTTTGCGGTGCTGAGGTTTTAAGAAAAGGTACCACTGTTCTTCTTGAAAGCAACACCATGTGCAGTAAAAAATGTGATACTTTATCACCATTTCCACCTAATGACTTGGTATTCACTCATACAGTAGAACATGTCTTGGAAAGGTAGATTTAATAGGCACATTTTGGGCGTTTCAGAAGCCATAGAATTTACATTTTAGGTTTCCAAGGGGAAAGTGAATTCTCATTTATCAAGGAGATTAAGTTCAGAAGATAAAACATCTCTAGTTTGGAGATTGATTTGCCTTTCTTCTTTCTGTCTTTGTCCCTGTCTTGCCACACGCCACCTTATTACCTGGTGTCCCTAAGCAGCCTGTGCATATTTGTAGTTAGTGGGTGAGGATGTTTTCTGCTGCAAGCAACTATTGTATCACATTTTTCTTTTTCAGAGTACATTGAATCTTAAAGTATAATAAAAGAAATTACTTTCCATCTGACAAGCAATAGAGTGGTGGTTGTTATGTAATGAACTGCAGGTTTCCTGTGTTCCTCTCTGTGCTGTTACTGGGTGGGATTAAAAAAGGTGCTGCTGCTAGTGTTGTCTCTGCTGAAATCTACCTGCAGAGCAGAGGCTGATTTCATGAATGATGCATGTTGGACGAAACATTTTTTGAGAGCTAGAGCTAAATGTGGTGCTTCAGATAATACCATAACAGTTGCTATTATTTTCTTCCAACAGTTACCCTGCTGTATGTGAATTCCTACAGCACAATAACTTGTTATCTATACTCCGAGCTCATGAAGCTCAGGATGCTGGGTAAGTATGGAGAGGGAGCACTAACAATGAATAATGGCTTAGTGTTGTCAAGCAGAGCAAGGAAAGAAAGAACAACTGAGTGAGAATGGAGTGGAGAACCTAAAATGAAGTTGCAACAGCTCTCACTTTTTATTAATGCTGTAAAAACATACACTGGAATTAGAATGTGTTTTACATGCTCATTACTAAGTACAGGACTTAATGAATCCTTACATATCCCACTTGCTTAGCCATGGTGATTTTAAGTGTCATAAAATGACCAAAAGTTATTTGGATGCCGAACTTGGGAAGGAAAACAGATTGATCTCAGAAAAAGTAGTGTTGGAAATGTCCTTGAGGCTTCTGACACACTGATGTCAGTGCCGTGATGCCTGGAAAGCGATTTGGCTCATGAAGGCCAGAACTGTAAAGTCTTTCACACCTACCTGAAACTTCTGGGCCTGCTGCTCTTATGCTTTATCAAGAAAATAAACTTATTGAACTCAATAGCTAAAAATAATTTCGTACAGAAATATCATTAATGAATTTAAGGAGTTTATTAAAACACTGTGCATAAGCAGGGTCAAACATGAGGTGGTGTTGAAGGTCCCTTCATGAAACACTTGCCAGTGTAAAGATAGATTTTTTTTTTAATGCAAATTAAAAAATAAATTTAAATATCTATTCTTTAAAACATATCATAGTTATGTGATTTCAGTGTAAGATTGGTATCTGAATAAATAGCATTACATATGCTGCATAAATTATTTATGTATTTATTTGGAGGTAGAAACTTTACCCAATAATAAACCTGAATAATAAGAAAAGATAAAGTAGCAGGGTTGTAAGAATGAGGTCGATATTCATTATGCATATAAAAAGCTTTCTGAATATTTGAATTATCACATGCTTTAAAACGTCAATGCAATTAAAAGCAAGCTATTACTCTGCCAAAAATAACTGATGTGAAATACCCAAGGGTAATGAAATTTCATTTTTCTTATATTGCATTCCACTAAAGGGTGAATAAATACAGTTTTGTTCAACAGATTGCATTGAAACTATACAGTGGTTTCAGTGCAACTCTTGTGGATGCTTGCCAAATTCCTCACTTTCTTGTAGCTGAAGACCAAAGAGCAGTACTTGGTGTTACTTGTCTCTTAGTAAGACAAAAGTACTGTTTCATTGGTTTGCTTCCAGTTACTTCCAGGTTTAATGCTTGATTGATTATACGTTGGCCCAATAAGGCTTTTATTTTTTGCAAGGCAGCAAGTTTACATAATGAAATCATGCAGGCATTACTAAACTGTAGTAGCTAAACAGGGTGAGATTAGAAGCAGCACTGAGAATACTGGACTCTCCATTTCCCCTCCTCTTCTCATACGTTCCATCTCCCCTGGCCTTGCCATCACTTCCATGCCCAGAGAGGGCCGGCAGCTGGAGGGCAGTAGGGGACGTGCAGGCCTCCTCTGGAGGCAGCAGCGTGTGTCTCCAGAGCACGTCCTGGTGGTTCTCTTCACCTGCACTCCCACGGAGGTGAAGTTTGGGAGTGTCCTGGGGTGCCAGTGCATAGAGGCTGCCTGGCTCCAGAGGTGGGCTGAGTGGATTCATAACAAAATCCATCTCCAGCTCACTGAATTTCAGATGGAGGCACAGCTTTTGGGCATGGTGTGGTTCCCTGGCCATCCCAAATGGATAATAAGTCTGCAGGAAATATTTTTTTCCATGGCTTTAAAAAGCACTTATGTGTGTTTTTCTGTCTTGGCATTTGTTAACAGCCAGTGTAGTAATGTAGCAGGATTTTTTTCACTGTGTTTGGTCAGTGACAAATATACGTACAACGCTGGGCAGTAATTAGTGTCTTCTCTTTCCTTTTAGATATCGCATGTACAGGAAAAGCCAAACAACAGGTTTCCCTTCACTAATCACAATTTTTTCAGCACCAAACTATCTAGATGTATACAATAACAAAGGTAAGAATTTAATTCCTGTTAATATACAATAGACTGTGCTTCTCTTTACTAAACTATATTGCATTGGTTTTCACTCCTTTATAAGTTCATACCCATTTTCTTCCTCTGTTCATTAGTTCATGCCCCTTCTGCTTATTACATAATACAAATCTAATTAAATTTATTACAGGCAGACATATGGCTCTGAACATAACTGTAGACTCTAACATGCCTTGGGATATTTCTGTATTTTGACTGCAAGTTACTAAGTAAATGTTACACTGAAAGCAGCTCTATTAGCTAAGAGGAGTATATTAGAAATGCTGGGGGTGTGATGTTCAGAGCCCAGTGTTCCTTATAATTAATTATTTCTTCCTTTGCTTCTTTCCAATAAAATTGATGGAGTTTGTATATGCAGACATTCTAGCCAGCTAACAAACTTTGACAGATGATGAGTGGATAAAGCATGAGACAGATACTGTCTTGAGTTCCTTTATGGTTTAGTTTTTGTTTTAATTATTTGAAAAAATGTTATGTAGGAAATGAAGTATCATTAGCCAGTACAAAAAAAAAGGTTATTGCACAAATCAGCAGTCACTGTCCACTTTCTAAAGACTCCACCAAATATAAATGTTTGCAGCTTCTCTGAGTTTTAGTTTATTGCATTCCCTGAAATCTCCTTTAATAAACTGGAAAAAAAAAATGTTTCTAAAAATAAAGCATTCTAATAAAGTTGTCCTCCTATATCTTGAAATGAGCAGTAATGTTTTACTTTCTCTTATTAATAAAATAACGTTATTTTCTTCTATAAATAAAGTTATTTGTTTTGCTCACAGAGGAACATAAAGTAATTTTCTTTGCAATGATACTCTTCAACGTAGCTTCATTGCAAAGACATCAGTCCTCCTTGTTAGGGACATTTTTGATTTGTATGCTTGCCTCCAAAGGAAGTAACCAATTTATATATTCATTTATTTAACTTACAAAAGAAAGCTTCTTCAGGTACGATTTTATATTATAAAACTTGCAGTTTAAAAGCTGTCATGCCATATACTGTATGGAAGGGAAGGAAACACTTCACTGGTAGATAAGGGGCATTCTCCACTTCAATGTTCTTAATAGGCATGTTAACTTGTGGAAAAGCTAGTAAAAGCATTCTGAAAAAAAAATACAAGCAGAGAGCTATCAGTAGCTACTTTTGCAAAAGTAAATAATATCGGGACTCTGACAGCAACCCAAAAAGCACAGAATGAAACAAGGAATATATTAATTTTCTTGACAACATCATTGCTCTTGATTGAAAAGTGTGTTTAGTCTCTGGGTTGGCTGCTTTGGGCAGAAGGAGACCAATGGGTAGGTTTCTACCAGTAAGGTGACAAAGTGTTCATCTTTTGTTTCTTAATGCCTGGAGGCAGTTCTGCGCACATGAAGGTAATGGGTGAACAATGTGAGATTTTTGTCATGAAGGTAAATGTAAAATCTGAAGCAATGATTTATAATATCCTAAACCTTGAACTTGAAATCACAGAGCTTGCGTGATGAAGA